AATTTAAGCAAATATATAAATTTAGAACAGGAACAGGAATTATCAACTTTTTCTTTGAAAGCGCTGAAAATTATAAAGGTCAGACATTTACAAAATGGCAGAATGTGTGATTGGATTAGGAGTGCCAATCAATATCACTCAATGAAGAATAATTTTATTTTATTTCAACAATAAATATTTAAAACACTGATATTATTTAAAACATTGTCTCCTTCAAAAACCCTTTCTGTCTCCTTCAATAGACTTTCAGGCCCTCTGCCAGCAATATTTCTTTCAAGGAAGTTCTCCGTTTCACCTACAACAAAGATAAAACCCTGATAGTCCAGAGCTCAGTTGAGACAAAATGTAACTTGTTTGTCTTGGAATTGTTACTTTGACCACTTCCAATGTTTATTATCTTTTTGTTCTTTTACCATGTTTCTGTACATTAAGGCGGAGTTTATGTTCATATTACAATAGTTAAAAGTGATTCCCAGTATTAAACTCTTAAAAATGAACATACTACTACTTAGGGACCCAGCCAAACACTTTGGAAGAAATCAAATACTGAAAATAAAGATGGGGGCATATTTTTGGCAAATCTCTCAGCTTTAATTTTTTTCTCCAGGCCTTATCTTGGAAGACTTAGCCTGAGGAAGACTCAGATTATTAGGGGCAATATGTTGATTCTGTAAACCGCTTTGAGAGGGCTCTAAAGCACTATGAAGCGGTATATAAGGTGGTAATTGAAGGTGGTAAGAATTCAAAAAAGTCAAATAATTTTGGAGATTCCCATTCTGGAAGAGAGCTCCATTACTATAACAAAATTGTGATTCATTTTAATATATGATATGACTCGACAGTAATTTTTGCAAATGATTTATGAACAAAGTGTCAAATGAATCAGTGGTCCATAAGAAGCCTGTACATTTTGCCCCACTGAAAACATACAGAAAAAAAGTAGAATAGAAAAATTATACAATTTGAAGATTTAATGTTCCTATTTATTCTCTGTCCATGTACACATGCAGCTAATAAACTACCTGTGAACTGATTAGAAAATATTATTGTTAACATGTGCCACATATTTAATCCATTAATAAATAAGAAATAGGACATCCATCTCATTCTCTGGCTTCTTTAGCTTTAGGATTAGTCATAGTCCTATTAGCACATCTGAGCTATGATCACCAAGGAATGGATAACTATCACTACACCCACTTGCAGGCAGTACTAGCAGGTGCACGCCGTTGCTGATGAAATCACCACATGTAAACCAGCTTCAAATAAGGCAAGTCTAGGGCATTATCCTAAAAAAACACCATGGTATTACATATTCAAACTGACTACATAAAGAGAGAGGAATTTCTTACTTGCAACTGAATGGGGCTACAAGATACTACCAGACTATGGATGAAAAATACACTGCTCAAAAAAATAAAGGGAACACTTAAACAACACAATGTAACTCCAAGTCAATCACACTTCTGTGAAATCAAACTGTCCATTTAGGTAGCAACACTGATTGACAATCAATTTCACATGCTGTTGTGCAAATGGAATAGACAAGAGGTGGAAAGCATAGGCAGTTAGCAAGACATCCCCAATAAAGGAGTGATTCTGCAGGTGGTGACCACAAACCACTTCTCAGTTCCTATGCTTTCTGGCTGATGGTTTGGTCACTTTTGAATGCTGGCGGTGTCAGTACATCAGGAGATGTGGAGGAGGCCGTAGGAGGGCAACAACCCAGCATCAGGACTGCTACCTCCATCTTTGTGCAAGGAGGGACAGGAGGAGCACTGCCAGAGCCCTGCAAAATGACCTCCAGCGGGCCACAAATGTGCATGTGGCTGCTCAAACGGTCAGAAATAGACTCCATGAGGGTGGTATGAGGGCCCAACGTCCACAGGTGGGGGTTGTGCTTACAAAACCATGCAGGACGTTTGGCATTTACCAGAGAACACCAAGATTGGCAAATTCGTCACTGGCGTCCTGTGCTCTTCACAGATGAAAGCAGCTTCACACTGAACACATGTGACAGATGTGACAGGGTCTGGAGATGCTGTGGAGAACATTCTGCTGCCTACAACATCCTCCAGCATGACCGGTTTGGCAGTGGGTCAGTAATGGTGTGGGGTGGCATTTCTTTAGGGGGCCGCACAGCCCTCCATGTGTTTGCCAGAGGTAGCCTACTGCCATTAGGTACCGAGATGAGATCCTCAGACCCCTTGTGAGACCATATGCTGGTGCAGTTGGCCCTGGGTTCCTCCTAATGCAAGACAATGCTAGACCTCATGTGGTTGGAGTGTGTCAGCAGTTCCTGCAAGATGAAGGCATTGATGCTATGGACTGGCCCGCCCGTTCCCCAGACCTGAATCCAATTGAGCACATCTGGGACATCATGTCTCACTCCAGCCACCAATGCCACGTTACACCAGACTGTCCAGGAGTTGGGGGATGCTTTAGTCCAGGTGTGGGAGGAGATCCTCAGGATACCATCCACCACCTCATCAGGAGCATGCCCAGGTGTTGTAGGGAGGTCATACAGGCACGTGGAGGCCACACACACTACTGAGCTTCATTTTGACTTGTTTTAAGGACATTACATCAAAGTTGGATCCGCCTGTAGTGTTTTTTTCCACTTTAATTTTGAGTGTAACTCCAAATCCAGACCTCCATGGGTTGCTAAATTTGATTTCCATTGCTAATTTTTGTGTGAGTTTGTTTTCAGCACATTCAACTGTGTAATGAACAAAGTATTTAATAAGAATATTTCATTCATTCAGATCTAGGATGTCTTATTTTTGTGTTCCCTTTATTTTTTTGAGCAGTGTACTTGTAAAGTGATTGTTTTGTAGGCTGTTGTCATTATTATAAGAAAGAGGAGAGATGGAGAAATCAATTCCTTCTACACTGATATATTAGAACCCTGTATACATGTTCCTGTATACATGTTCCTTCTCAGGAGAAACAAATTAGTCCTTTCTATAACAAATTTGCAAAAATATCAATCAACACTACCAAACTACCTTCAGTAAATGTATCCAATACATGCAAACATTTCTATTCATAGCTGGAAGTCTACAATGGAATTTCAAACAGTAAATTCCAAACTGATAAACATCTGAATCTGGGTGGTGCATTTAACTAAAAAGTTTATTTTAGTAAGAGCCTTTCCAGTACATATTTTACCTTAGAGTTCTTTATTGTTGTATGGCACTGCTTTTATGCTTTCTGTTTCCTCTTTTCATTACACCCAAAACTTGCTAACACTATTTAGGCAGATTGCAAGTAAACATCTGTCAAGAGAGGAAAGTTGGGAAAGAAGGCTAGATACAAACAAAAGACCTACTGCTGCCATTGGATCTATTTCAAATTTCATACATTATCTGCATTTTGGAAAGAATGTAGGATGTATTCCAGCTTACTACGTGAGCAATGCTTAAGTGCTGAAGATACACTGAAACTTGAGCAGCTGATCGGAAGAACACACCCACAGTTGCAAGCAGTGTTTAATATTAACAGGAGCTAGGATGGAATTTATGAACATTCTGTAAAAGCATTTACAGGTAGTTTTCAGCTTATGACAGTAATTGTGACCAGAATGTGTGTTATTAAGATGGTTATTAACAGACACACCTGTTTTTAATGAATTTTTTTTTTTGCCACAGTAGTTAAGCAAATCACTGCAACTAAATGAATGATGCAGTCCTTAAGCGAATCCCAGTTCCCTCACTGACTTTGCTCATCAGAAGCCAGCTGGGTGATGATGATCACATGACCTTGGGATGCTGCAACTTTTGTAAATTCAAATTGGCTGCCAATTTTGATCTTGTGACAATGACAATACTGTGATGTTTGTAAGTGTGAGGATTGGTTGTAAGTGTGAAATTGATTGGAAATCATTTTCTTCCATTTTCAAATGGTCACTAAACAAATAATTGTTAAGTAGTGGACTACCATATTCTTCACAAAGTTGAAGCTCTCTGAACATTATTATAACTTAACACAACCACTTCACGTAAAATGCTTGGAATGCTTGTAAAACCATCTAAATTCTCTACAGCATAAAGCTATGATTAATGTAACTGCTTGTGTTGGGCTGAACCCCCACTGATGTTGCTGCGACTCAAAATAAAAAGGTGTATAAATTGTTCTTGTTCATCCAATTTATAAAACCACCCATCTCCCCCAAAGGGGAGGCGCACAACAATTAAGACTTTAAAGGCTGAAAACTCAGCAATTTTTGGATGAGTCAGATAAACAGAACCACACACTGCTTACAAACTGGTTTAGATTTATGCCAAGATGGAGATGCAGGAACCGAATCAGAATCATTTGTTTACATAAAGAGACAGAGAGCTAGTTTATCAGACTTGTTCATATTGTGCTTAGAAGTTCTGAAACTACAGCGAGAACTGCTAGCTTTTCAACTGAGATCTGTAAAAACTCACTCTGCTTTGCCGGATAAAACAAATTGCAAGAACCTTTCCCGGATCAAAATACAGGAAGAAGTGACCCTTAAAGCAAAAGAAAACCTAGATGTCAAGAAGCAGTTGCTGCGGTGTGTGTGTGTGTGTGTGCACGAGATATAGGAAAGTTGACAAACCAAGCGAACAGTGAGACTGCACTTTCACAGGGATGGCACAGCTGGCAACATCCTTTGGGGCTGTGCCCAGGGGAAGAAGAGCGCTGACAACAAGCTCTCCCGTTGCCTTGACTCTCAGTTCATGACTTCCAAAGCGAAGGGACGCCCCACGACTCTCTTGCACCACACCTGCTCATCAGAGTGCAGCCTCCTGAACTGAGAAGCCCCGACCCCTCCCTCGTCCCGCAGGGGAAACAAGAAAGTTTGGGGGGGGGGAATCACTCTCAAGTGAGCCAAGCCTCGCGAACCGAGTGGGTGGTCACGGAGCGGCGCGCGCAAAGGGGCTTGGGGACGGGGGAGGGGGCTAGACTACGTTTCCACTCCCGCGTTCTTTGTTTTTCATTGGCTTGTAAGTCAGCCCAGCCTCACTCACCCACAGTAGCCAAGGTCTCCAGGTCCTCAAGTCTATAAGCGGGGGAATCCGAGGCCGCCGGCGCGGGAGATCCTCGGCTAGCTGAAGAACAAATGGGTTGGGGTTCGCCGGTACCTGCTGCTTCACAGCCAACAGGGCTTCTGGCTCCTACTTTAGCTCGCACGGCGCTCAAAGTCTCCATAGGTGGGGGAAGAGAATAGGAAAGGCTCCTCCTGTCAGAGCAAACTTGGGAGTCTCCGGAGGCGGCCTAGCCTCTTTCTCCTTTCAGCAGCTGCAGAGGTCCCGAGGAACCGGGGCTACTCCTTGGTGCCGTCTCTCAGCAGAGGGGCTGTCGGAGCTCCGCATCGCGCCAGAGCGCGGCTCCCTTCCTGCCGGTGCTTCTGGTTTGTTCTGGGTGTGTAAGTGAGCACCCGGGACGCGTCTGGCGGGGAAGGTCGTCGTCGACGCTGCTGGCTTCGCTCCTCTCGCGCTTCCCGCCGGCGCCTCAATGCAGACAATGGGCTTGCCGGGAGGACGCCGAGTCTCATTCGCCAGTCAGCCGGTTGCACGCGGGGACGAGGGGGCGGGGTTTGGCTCCCTGCAGCTGCGGCAAGAACCCTGGAGTGGGCGGGGAGGAGCGCAGCCCGAGGAAGAAGAGGGGCTGCCCACCGGTCGGAGTCCTCAGAAAGCATGTGTGGGGAGGGGGGGGGAGCGGAAGGTGGTCGCGTTTCTTGGAAAGTCGTAGGCAATGTAACTGTTTCACCTCGGTGTAAAGGAGTTGCGTGCCGACAACACGAAACGCTGCTGTTCGCAGAGAACCACGCGCTGACGCGGTTTTGGTATTTATGAGGAAGCGCCCTCTGGGGTCATTTCCTCTGTATATATACATCCATGTGAGATAGCTGATATTGCAATAAGAAAAAAGGTGGAAGAAAGGAGGAAGAAAGGTAAAGATATAAAAAAAGATATAAAGGTATAAATAAGTGGCTTCTGATATCCTTCACAGCAGCTATAAGTGCAATTATGTTTTAACGTCTCTCTAAAGTTGGATCGTGGTTTTCTTGTTATGATGTATCTTCCTAATCATAAAAACATAAATCACAAGTTCATTTTTTTTTTTTAAATGCAGAAAGGTCTCTCTCTCTCAGGTTATTTCCAAGCCCCTCCTTGGCTCCCTTTGCACTGAAACTTAATTTTCTGTTTCTGATGAGTCAGAAACCCCCTGACCTGGTGGACTATATCCACTATTACAGGATCTCTTTTAGGTGAATCTATTGAAATGAATGGCACCAGGATGTGAAGGGCTAGACAGAATCTCCACCTTTCTGTCAGATAGATGAACAAGACTACATTAATCTGCATGAAGTCATGCTCTGGATAGCTGAATTAGATATCCAGTTACAAGGTCACTGTCATACCCCCCATAGAATTTTACCTATACTTTACCTATCATTACAGGGATTCTGTGTTGTTCTCATACTCTAAATAATAATCATACTAAGAGAAAACTTTGATAAATGAGATTGGTAGTTGTTTAAAAGCATAAGAAGTTTGGAATTGGGTTTGTTTAGAGAGCCAAAAAGACTGGGTACAAAAAAAAGTCTTTTCTGTACAATGACTGCTTTCTCCTTGGTATATTAGTTGACTTGACATAATAGATTAAGCTAAAGCAAATTGCCTTACTGTCTTAGGATGTGTAAGCCCAGCTCTTTCCTTCATAGTATGATTCAACATACTTATGTCACAGAATGATGGTACAGGGACTCTGATTTAATGCATATTTTGAAACTTTTAAAGGTTGTGTTTCACATTGCAATTTTATTTGATTATGGTTTTAGAATGCTTTGTCACCTGAAATGAAATTTTATTTGGAAGAGTGGCTTTATAAAGTCTTAGAGGTATATAAAATGCCCAGAAACAAATATGGCCCAAGAGATCTAATTACACTAACTCACTGAAAATATCCTGTGTACATTTCCTCAAAAATGCAAAGACTCCTGTGTAACAGCATACATTTATATAAATACTAAAACAAGTATTTACAGTACATAAGCAAGCACTAAAGTATTTACTAAATGTTACAGTAAATTCTAAAACAAGTTTGCCACAACATTGTCTTCTGGGTGCATTTAAGATGCTGGCCATTGCCTCTAAAGCCTTGCATGGTATGAGACCTAGCTAAACAGGAATTGCCTGTTTTTCATAGTGACTGCCCATCTGGTGCCCTCCATCAGTATTGGTTTGGGTTTCACAAATGACCAATGTCATCTAGTGCGGTGGCCCCCAACCTTTTTTGTGCCGTGGCCCGGTACCGGCATCACAAAATCATCCGTGGCCCGGTACCGGCATCAGCACGCATGGCAAGGCGAGCCGAGCGACCGGCCAGCCAGCCGTCCCCCGCTTCTCCCCGCCACCTTCAACTCCTCCTTTGTACCTGTGTCGATGGGCTTCGCGACGGCTTCGGGACGGTCGCTCGGCTCGCCTTGCCATGCGTGCTGGAAGAATCCTCGCGCCTTAGTTTTGTTCGAAGCCGCCCCCCCCTTCGATGAAACTAAGGCGCGAGGATTCTTTCAGCACCCAAACGCCGCTTTCTACCCAGAAAAGCTCACTGGAAGCACTTTTTCATCAAAACAAGATGGCGGCGCCCAGCAAACCGGCGGCCCGGTAGAAATTGTTCCACGGACCGGTCCCGGTCCGGGGACCGGTGGTTGGGGACCCCTGATCTAGTGGACCTTCTCTGTCACTACACCTGTCCTTGGAGCTGCATCCCCTAGAAATTCATATGGTCTGTACCTTACCTGTCCCTATTTGTTTTAATTGTCTTTCCCGCCATGCTTTGGGATAGAGTAATTACACAGGCTATTTAAAATCGTGTGAAAGCATAACATGTTGTCCATTAGATAATGGTTGATTTTATATAAGGCTATTTTTTAACTTTGTGAAATTGCCCAGAGTCATGTTGCAGTTGATGGCCTAGAAAGGCTAAATATTGAACATTTAAGCAGTGCTGGAACACAGTGATATATATTTGTTAGAGCAGTCCACTCAGGATGCTGTGTCTTTGCTATATTTAGGATCAAGGTTTTACTTGTGAAACTTTACATAGGACACGTTGATGTGAGTTCTACTTCCTTCTGTTACCTAAACAATTTATAACAGACTTGTTCATTGTCTTATTCTTAGTATTTGTGACATTGCCACATTGTGACATAATGAGTAGTCTCCTGCCCACTAGAAGTTTCCAAAAAGTTTGTCAGTTCTTCATGGATGCTACTGGTTGTTTAGAGTAACACAAAATTCCATACCATTCATTCCCTAGGGTAAAAAATGGTTGTCTTCTCTCCAGTCTATGTTTTCAGTACCCATCACATGCATATGTCATTTGCAAAACAACCAACAAACCACAAAACTTGAATCATAATTAAGCTACATAGCTGTTCAAATATAATTGTTCTATACTGATATTCCCACTGATAGCTGTGAAAGATGCATTGTATGTCATGAATTATTCAGTCAACTACTCTTTACAGTGACTATAACTTGTTTTATGTCACAATAGTGAAAAAGGAGACAAGGGGCATTCTTTATTCTATTTCTGTTTTCATACCAGTTGAGTAACCAAAATACTTTTGTTTTTCCCTGTTTCATAAAGAGAGGGGGAAAAAAGAAAACAATCTAAAAAGCTGGCATTTTATTCTGTAAAAGTGCTTTTAGGAAATTTAGACATGTTAGATGAAAAACACAGTCTATGCTGTTTCAACTGAAAGCAAAATATCATAAAATGTTGTATATTAATAGAGCAATTTGATGGAACTGGGAGAAAAAGGGATCCATAGAATTGCTCCTTGAAAGTTTAGGCCAACAGATCAAAAGTTGTTTGTGAAGATCTGTTTACTTTGGCCTCTTGAACAACTTTTCTTTTATAGGTTCAAGTAATAATACCAACTGTATTTAAGTTGGTATATATCCAGTGAGCCAAAGTTATGTAACTATCTTTTTCCCTTTTATAATAAAATAGTGTTAGGAGAATTTTTGTCACAATCAATGCAAAGTCTCCACAGAAAGCCTCATCATCTCCCTGTTCTAAGTTTCCTGATTCTTTTTCCAGAGACTTTCAGATCCAATGTAGATCATGATGATGATGGTGGTAATAATCTTCAAAATGTCTTCAGAAAGGCCTTGGTAAAGAAAATTATTTTTAGTTGCCTAAGTGAGGTGATTATTAAGTGAATTGTGAATGATTTTACAGCCTTAGTGTCATGGCTGTTAAGCAAATTTACCACGGTGAATAAGTCTAGTTTAAATTAGTTTAGCTTTTCCTGTTGATTTTCTTTGTTAGAAGCCAGTGGGGAAGGTTGCAAATAGTAATCATATGACCCCAGATGTTGCAGCTATCTTAAATAAGTTGCCAAGTGCATGAAATTCCTAAGTGTCATAAATGGAAGGATTAGTTGTAAATCACTTTTTTTCAGTGCTATTGTAACTTTGAACAGTCACTAAGTAAATGGTTGTAAGTCAAGGGCTTCCAGTATTTACTTTGTATTTGTACTGGTCTGATTTAATGGATTAAATGAGAGTCCACTATAACTAATGTATAAAGACCAAAGTTCACATAAATTACCTCATACTATAAGGACAATTTCACGTTTTTTTTTCACCAGAATAATTGATGGTAATGTGTATTAGGTGGGAATTAGAACTGTCATACCATAAATCATCATAATAGGACTTAATCATGGAAAAAGCTTGAGCGAAGTTTACTGGCCTAGAAAAAAGACAAGATGAATTTGCAACTGATTACTCAATTTCTTCAACTCACAATTCCAATGTTGTTCTTGTTTAATATTGGGGAAGATAGTTTCTGCTGTTAAATTATATAAAAGTATAAGTACCAAAACTAATGCATTGTAAGGAAAGAGAAAAGAAAATAGTGCAATTGCAAACACTTTTTCAAAAACAAATACATCCAATGTTTGAAATGTAAATTTCTGACAGCAGATACAGCACTTCATTAGACACACCAATGCCATATTTACTTTTTGTTAGAATGGTTTTTTTGTATATTATACTACATAGTTTATGCTTTTTAAAAAATGAATCTTACACATTGTTGTATTCTAATGCAGCAGTGTGATAATGCAAATGTCTCTAAATATTTGAAGATGCCTCTCACCTTAGTAATTAACTTAATTACCTAATGAGCAAAGTACATTATATAGGTAGTGACAGAATGGAATCAAAATGTCAGCAAGAAACTTAAAAGGAAGTAGTGTTGAATTACAATACAGAACACATTTGAAATAAGTAAATAACTTCTTGTTTCAAATTCAGACATAAATCAAACAGGAAGACATGTTTCGTTCTTTAGTGAGATTTTAATCAAACAGCACATGTATTAACTGTAGTAACCAATTTCCCTTTAGTTTTATTTATAGATTAACTTGCACTATTATCCCTATATGCATAATTCCATGAATATATGGGGCCAAAGGGATAACTTTAGTAGCTTTGAGAATCATTTGTTTATTGTATTAAATTTGCATTTTAATGGTAAAGATAAATGTTCTTTGGATATTTCAAATATAATAGTTAAACTTCATTTTGGAGTTTGCTGTTAATTTAGGTTGGATTGATGAATTAAGAAA